AACTAAATCTGGATCTAGCTGATTGTCCTGATGTAACTTTAGTTTTTGCTATTTACTGGAATGTGGTAAAGAGTGGTAAAAGAGTACAAGAAGAAACAGAAAATTAAAAGAGCTGTTTTGTGTTTCTTCCCAATCATTGAACTGTTTTGCTCCAAAGCAACTGCACCCAAGATGATCAGGCAGTGATAGTGAATTTAAATGGTTATCTGCCTTTTTTTCACAGATTATTTTCCTAGAATGGTCATTGAGGATGGTCATTTTTCCCCCTTGATTTTCTAGAGGATAAGCCTGAAAAACCTGTGAATGGGGAAGATAAAGGCGATTCAGGTGTTGACACCCAAAACAGTGAAGGAAATGCAGATGATGAGGACCCACTTGGCCCCAATTGCTACTATGACAAAACCAAGTCTTTCTTTGATAACATTTCCTGTGATGACAACAGGTACCAAGTTTTTCTGAGCAAGCTACACATGGCATTCCTTTGACACTAACAGGTAGCATGGCTGAGCTAGAATTTTGCATGTGGATAAAGAACTGAAGTTCCTTTTCCACATTAAGCAGAATGCAGTAAATGAACTGGACTAATCCATCATGTGGGTGGGGGCAACTTCTGATTGCAGTGTCTGCAATTAAAATGATTTCTATCATGCAAATACTAGAAGCTTGTTTTTATAAGTATAATCTTTCTTCTGCATTCAGCCATGCCACAGTTCATTCTACTCCACTCATTTTGCTGCAGGACATATGAACCATAGATAGACACTTCCGAGTGTCAGGCTTGTCCCGATTTGAGCATTTAGGAAAGAAAGACCCTCAACTCAATTTTTGAAGTGATAAAGGTTTAGTTTTACTAAAGTCAAGTGGTTACAGCATAAGCAAAGCTGGATCTGAATATTCCCATGCAAAACTGACATTTTTCCCTCTTCCCTGGCCCTCCCCCAGTGTCCAATGATATTTAGCGCCTCTTTGGTGGAGTTTCGCAGTCCGTTCTCATGGTTCTGTCCTTGATTGGCCGATCCATTCCGGATTGACACTTCTGCTTCTTATCACCCTGTCATTTCCCCCTCCTATTTCCCCACTCTCTCCCCCTCTGCATTTTATGGAAGGATGCCAGCAAAGCAGTGTATGCAGTGCAGACCTGGCACTGAGATTCCGACTTCTGCTAAAATCAGGCAGGTTCTCTCAAAATCCAGGGCTGAGGCAGTGGACAAGTTTGTTTCATCATTTTTCTCTTGCAAAAAGGTGCAAACCATTTCTAAAAGAACATTTGAGAGACTTCTAAGCACCGCATCAGTTTATCAACAGTTTAATGAATTCCTTCTGATCTCCGTTCTTTCCCAAGTGGAACTTAATGAAGATGTTGGCATTTGTAAATCCACCTCTGGGTGTCCACTACTAAAGGTTTGAGAAAGGGGTTACATAATATGCTACAATACACTTTTTACTTTTCATTTGCTAACTAACCCTGGCATTTCTAGTAGTCATTTGCTGGAAGCATCTTTTTAGGAAGAAATTGGTCATAATTTGAAGCAACAGCAACATTTCTTTCAGAAACCGAAGACCAAACTGGGCAGAGGAAAGAAGACTGAATGCAGAGACATTTGGCCTTCCACTGCGTCCAAACCGTGGTCGGGGGGGATTCAGAGGCAGAGGGGGAAGTGGAGGAGCTGGTGGCTTCCGGGCAGGTAGAGGACGTGGAAACGCAAGAGGACCTTTCAATGCTCCTCGGGGTTTTCGTGGTGGATTTAGAGGTGGCCGTGGTGGCAGGGAGTTCGCGGATTTTGAATATAGGGTAAGGCACTTACCAATATTATTATTACCAATAATATTATCTGTAAATTGCATGGTGAAGTTTCCTTTTTATCAAGTCAGACCACTTCTCTGTCTAACATCATTAGCTATACTTCCCAGCAATAGCAAGGAATTTTCCATCTCTACCAGGCAATGAATTGGGACTTTTCACAGCACTAAATTGTTCTATTCCATTCATATTTTGATTTACAGTAGTTATCATTATTGTAGGAGCTTATTTCTGTTATATAGCTGGCAGGGTCTAGTAATGAAACTCATGTATTCATTTTTAAATTTTGATGACAAGTTTATTATCAAATTTGAATGGCTTGCCCATCTTTCAAAATGTTTATGATCTTTATCAAATTGACTTTATACCAGCTTAAATCAAAAGTAATGTTAATCTTGTATTGCTTTTTAGAAAGACAACAAAGTTGCAGCATAATCTACAAAGAATTTGAAAGCAGGTGGACTTGCTGATCTTCATGGTACCAAGAACGTGTTGGTTTTCGCAAAGAATTATGTTCATTTGCTGTTAAAACTTCACCAGCACTAGCGTTCATTTTTAATTTCAAAGGAGCAGTAACTTTTTTGAAAATATGGCCATCTTCAAAAACAAGAATATTAAATATATTTGAGATAGAAAACTTAAATAATTTCTTACAAATAGTTAAAAGTATAAAGCAGTACTTCAGTGGAGTTTTAGTATTTTTTTTCATTACAGAAAGGGTTTTTCTGAATTAAAATTGTATTTTATAATTGCTGCAGGCTATAAAGACAATTGTATGCAGAAGGCCGTCAGTACTGTGAGTGTGTTGATCCAGTGAAGGTTGCATTTGAAATCCTATAATCTCTTCAGATAGTTGTAATTTTTGTCAAATAGGATGCTGGGCAGTAAAAAAATTGGTTTGTCAGTAAAGAAAGTATAAACATGGAAAATGCTGTTTCTTAGGCAAAGGAAGCTTTTTATAGTTGTATAATTCCATGATTATCCCATTGCCAAAGAAACACTAGGGATTTTGTATAGCTGTATAAAAAGCAACTAATTTTTTAAGAATAAACATTTTTAAGTCTACAAAACTGCCGTGTTGAAATGCTACACACGTTTGGAGGGTTTCTTTCTAGCTTTTCAGCTTTAAATTTGTTTGTTTTTATATTTTGACTACCAATAAATATTTGAAATGTTCTTCCATTATTCAGAAGGATTAAAATATTTCTCTTGCAAGAAATCCATTTTCTAGTTTTTGGTCTTGCTGTTGGATTGGACCACACTAAGGGACTATTTAGATAAAGATAAACCTTTAACACTTTATGCAGTTTGCAGGTCATGTTATGATAGTAAGTGAAAAAAGAGCCAGTTACTGACTTCTTGTTCCCGTTGATGTGCCTGGAATAAAAATGAAATGTGCCGATTCTTAAAATGTTGTTTTGTATTGTTGGCATACTCAATTAAGAAGTTTTGATGGACTGCAACTTGGAGACATTGTTCATTTTTACCCCAGTATCACTAGAGTGATTTTGCTTGGAGTAACTGAGGTTAATTCTGAATAACTAGTTATGACTTCTTTTGCTATTAAGTTATAATTAGATACAGATCTTTAATAATTTGTATTTTTATGTATATCTGAAAGCCGCAAGAATAAAGGGATCCAAAGATTAAAATATTTTATCTAATTTGCTGAATTTTTGTTCATTTTCCTTCATGTTCAGTAGTGATAAAATGTGGATAAATGCACTGTTAGCAAATGGGAATATTCAAGTGATAGAATCATAATTTTATATTTTTTGTATAGCACTATAAGGAAGTATTTTGTAATTCATTTCCATATGAGGTCAAGTAGAATTAGATACGATTGTTTAGTAATATTCTGCATGTTAAACGCCTTTTTGGAATCCACAAATCATGATACTGCACAGTTTGGAGGAGGCTTTTTAGACAAGGCAAGTGCTGTATTGTTGCAATAACTATGTATACTGTATAAGGTGTCCCAAACTTATTTAAACCAGATAAATTGTAAATACCAATGAGACATTATGAAGGTATGATTTGGGTTCGATTTACCCATCAGTTATTTGAGTTTACTAATTGGGGTGTACTGTACCCCAATGAACAGCAGCATGATGTCCCTTCAGTGTATCTTGCTACGGAAAAGTGGGCCTTATTTTAAGCCAGAATAAAACCATTCAATAAGAAAAGTAATCTTTGTGAAATTTCTTTACAGCTCAATCATATTTCAGACATAGATATTTGGGCCACTTCTTTTGGCTCACTTGTTTTAAAACCACAGTTTGGCCATATAAAGTTTATCAATTACACCTACAGCCTCACAGCTTTGGATGGAAACATGCTTGGTATTAATTTTAGCGGGGCTAAATTTTAAATTTTTGATCACTTTCTTATATTACATATTACTGGTCCACATTCTTCTATTATCATTCAATGTCAAAATAACAGAGAATAGGTTTGCCGTATCAGGATCATCTAATACAAGGGTCTCCAAACTTGGGAACTTTAAGACTTGTGGACTTCAACTCCCAGAATTCCCCAGCCAACATTTCCAATTTCTGCTTTTGAAAACCGGAATGCTCTCTCTCGTCCCACGGATGCCGTTTCTGCACATTTATATTTAAAAAGACCATCGTGGGCCGCACAATCAAAGATTGGATGCCTGCCTTATTGTAGGGAGGCAGGTGCTGTTCAATTGCCAATGCTTAGCAGGGACCTTAATCTCAAAATGGGACATGATTTCAATTTGTCTCTTAAACCGGCGCCTGCCTGAAATTAGAAAAAATGGGGATTCCCTTTTTTTGTTCTTCCTGCAAGGGCTGCGGGAAAGGGGGCTACCCAGCGATCACCGTCCGTTCCCCCGCTTGTTGTCTTTAGCAATGACGGAGGCGGAATTCCCGTAGCCGCAGCCAGTCGGGAAGATGACGGGCGCTAGAGGAGACGCGGCCCTCGCCCGCTGCGGCAAGCCCATCCGCCTGTTCCTTCCCATCCGGGAGGAGGTCCCCCGCACCTCCCCCGGAGAAAGCGAGTCTTTCTCGGCCGGCGGCCCAAGTGGCTTCCCTCTCGCACGAGAAGCTCACCGGCTCCCTTCCGTCCCAGCCCGACTCCTGGCTGGAAAGGGACAGCTTCGCGCGCCCACATTTGGCCGCCCTCGGCTGCCGTCTCCGGGGGTGGGGCCGCTTCCGGTAGTCCTGCCGCTTCTTCCCCCACGTGGAGGGACCGAGGCGCCATGGCGGCCGCTCCGGCCCGGGTGCTGCTGGGGCTGCGCGACGCCGCCGTCCCGCCGGGCAGCGAGGGTCTCCCGTCGCAGGGCACCGCCAGCAAGCTGGGCGGGTCTCCGCCGCCTCCTCTTCCTCCAGGCAGTCCGGGTGGGAGCCCCGGCTGGCAGCGCTGGGCTCAGTCGGGCGAGGCATGGAGGGGCTCTACCGTCCCTCTGCAGGCGCCGCAGTTCAGCCGCGCCTCCTCGCTCTTGCCCCGGTGCTGGGGGTGGCGAGGCGGCGGTGGAGCTGGACGCACTGCCGGTCCCGCCTCTTTCTCGGAGCGCCAGGAGGAGGCGCTGGTGGGATTAACCGCGTGTCCTCCGTGGGATTGAAACCTTCGGCCGAAATGGGCCTCGCCAGGTCTCTGGCGCTGGGCCGTTGGGAGGAAGGGGGTCGCAGGGAGCCCGGCCTTTACAGGGTATCCGCAGGTGTTAGACCAGCTGGCTGGAGGCCGGGCTAAGCAGCACAGCTGGGCGCTTTTTGTGGCCCCGCTTGGCAACAGGAAGGAAGGAAGGGGGGGAAAATCCTCTATTGAAGGTTAAAACAACGTCAGGTTCTTTTTCTCTTCTCCTAGGATTGGAGGCTCTCGGTCCCTGTGATCCACCTATCCTGTGAGGTTTGCTGTGCTGGTTTGCTGCACGTGGTGCAAATCTATTGTCCCCTTCAAGGCTCCCAGTACCACCGGGTCATCAATGTATTTGCTTGTGCCAGGAAAAGCTGCTGGGGGAATTCTGAAAGGTAGTTTGGGTTTTATCCTGGCTTTTGAGGGGCAGAACCTCTTGAGTTTAAGTGAAATCTGTGCCCATAACTAAGAAGTAATGCAATGTAATACTTCACTCTGTCAAGTTCTTAATATTTTCTGCCATCTCCAAAAGTGGACCCTTCCTATTGTAAGAGTTTGCAAAAGAGATATGGATGAGCACCTTCCTTGTATGCCAAAGACCTCAAGTGGCAAAGAACATTCCAGAGCTACTGCTATTTGGTTCAGGGACCCCAGCAAATGATAAATATTGTTTACAGGTTCAGCAACTGTTAGAAGTTGTGACACTGTTGAACAAGTGGTATGTGCAACTGGTCCTTGAAGTTCCAGCTGTCACTTAAGACGATTGCAGCATCCAAGAGTCACATGATCATCATTTGCAACCTTCCCCACTGGCTTCCCACAAGCAAAGTCAATGGGGAAACCGGCAGAGAAGGTCACAAATCACTCCCATAAGCCACTTCCCCATGCCTTCACTCCCTATCATACATTTGCCTGGCCAAGCTTGTGCAGCACCCCTGCCTGCCCACACTCTGTAGCACTCACCTGCCAACTGGCCTTGTGAGCCGACTGGGACTTGAGATTTCCTACCAGCTTCTCCACTGATTTTGCTTGTGGGAAGTTTCAAGTCATGGCCACGTGAGATCCTTGCTTAACAATCCCCATCTTCATTTAACAATGGCAACTGAGACTGTGGGAATTGCAATTGCTAAGTGATGAAGGTACATGATTTGCTTTATGATGGAAATAACCATCATTAAGCAAGGACTGCCTGTATGGCTTAGTATGCTGTGTGAACCCAGCCATTGAAATTTATAACCCATAGTTTATTTTTTACTCTGTTGGGGTAATCTGTGGTAATAAAGCAAACCATATGTTGTATGAATACTGTGCAAAGCTAAATAGACTAGTAACCAGTTTTAGAATCGGGTGGCATCCTGCATTAGTTTACCCAGTGAGAACATGGCAGAAAAGGAATACAAATCAGAAATTTCTTGATTTGTGCAGGTTACTTTTTTGTCTTAAGCTATCAAATCTAGTAAAGTTATTGTGAAGTAATTTTGTTAGCATTAATTTGTGTCTCTTTTGCTATTGTCTGTACCATGTTTTTAAAGCTGGAAGGTGTTACGATCCCAGTATTTGCAAATCCCAAGAAAAGAAATACAAGACTGCACACAGAAGCAGGTAACATGAGCCACAGAGAATATATTCTGTAACTAGATGCATGTGGCCAGGTCAGTTTTCTAACTGGAGGAACTTCTTATGTAGAAGGACAAGCCTTTGCGTTAAGAAGTTCATGTTAGAATTGGGGCATTTAATGAACTAATCTTAAGTATCAGTGAAACATAGGGAGAGAGCGCATTTTATGCATTAGTCTGTTGAAACACAAGGGTAGCTTGCAACATTCTACAAGATAATATGTGTAGCTTTCATCAGAATATATTTATTATATCTGTGCACTTTGCTTCAATATAGCTACTGTATATAGCTCAGCAGAGTTGTATGGAATATTAATGGGAAGACTAGCGTGCCTTTTTACATCAACTTCCCAGTCTGGATGCAGGGGGAGGCAAGCATTCTCTGTGAAGCAGAAGTATTCCGCTATGTGTTTGGTTAGGTTATAATAGGATGAAAAATGTTCAAATTGTTTAAAAAAACATGCCTAATTTATTCTTTTTCTTCAAGTTTGTTTCTTAATGTGGTGCCTGCTCCAGTTGAGATTGGCATATTTCACTCTTGGGGGAAGTCCTTTATTTGCTGAAACAATTCAGAGAGAGTTTAAGAAACAAGGAATTGATGGTTCCTTTCCATGCAACCTCTTGCCATCCCAGCTCCACCACAGGTCATTGACAAGGGTAATGAAGGCAGTCTCAAAACTAAAACCCATCCTTAAATCTACAATCTATTAGAGTTTCTCTCCAGAATGTCATTAAATTCGAGGGGTCCTTGGCACTCACTCAGCTTGGTAGTTTTCTTGAAGGTGTTTCATTATCCAAACAAGGTAACATCCTCTGTGCTAGTAGAGAGTGAATTTTGCGTTTGCTTTTGCTTTGTAGTGATGGAGGTGGTCTTGGAGGTTCTTTGGTTGGGCTGTTTCCTGTTAGCTTGTTTGGCAGCTTCCTGTTCAGAGTATTGTTTATTTCTTGATTGTTGGTTGGTCTGATGTTAATCTTGGCATTAATCTTGGCTCATCTGGGTGTTGATTGCTGACAGGAAGCTGTTTGGTCTTTTTGTTGCCTTTTTGGCTTGTTGATTGTCTCTTTTGCACAGTATGTAGACTTTTATATCTTATGTGTCTATCAATGGCCAACTTGTGAAAACACCAATGGTCAGAACACCATTCCATGAACACCAAGAAGTCAGATGCCATGATGAAAACTCTTTAATTTCACAAAATATGGACAGACCTTCAACTGGAGGACTGTGACCATCCTGGACCAAGCCAAGTCCAAAAATGCTGCAGAATTCCGGGAAGCCTGGCACGCTTGACAAATTGGCCATCAATAGACACATGAGCAACATACTCTGCAAAAGAGGCGATCAACAAGCCAAAAAGGGGGGGGGGGAGACCCAAACACCTTCCTATCAGCAATCAACAATCAGATGATCAATGCAAAGATTAATATCAGACCATCGATCAAGAAGTAATCAGTACCCAATCAAAGAACTGACAAACAAGCTAACAATAAACAGCCCAACCAAAGAAACTCCCAAGACCATTTCCACCAACGCTGATGGGAGAAGCTGCTAGAATAGAAATTGAGAGCAGATCCCATTCCTTACTAGCACTGATGTTGTTACCTAGGTTGGATAATAAAAAATCTGCATGAAAAGTTCAGAGAGCATCAAGTACCCCTCATTTCAACCCCAAGCTACAAATATTCTTTATCATTTTAAATTGTTTTTTTCCTGTAGTCGTGTGTTCAATTTCAAAGATGTTTTTAGCTGTGTAAAATCCTGACTGTTCCCTAAAAGGAGCATAAAGAAGTGCAGCTCTGTTCTGCAGGCAGAAGAGTCCAACCAGATTTATTTACTAGTTAAGTTTATATAGCTGCCCATCTCGAATACGGCTCATATTGGAATGAAAAAAGAATAGAAAAATATTCTGACTCCTCAAGGTCTGGGAAAGTCTCCAGCTGGATGGATTCAAGCAACTGCTTTATAACTGCTTGGATCTGGTTCTGCATAAGTCACTTCTGCATCCCTTGGTTTGATAGGAGCAAGAACGGACACAAGCAGTCACCGACTGGTGCAATGGAGCAGATGATTGGGGAGAAAACGGTGAAGAGGCACCTTCTGAGCTGTCTGCGACTTTCCACTCTTTCCCTAGAGAAACACAATGTGCAGCTCTATTGCAGAGAATGAGCCTGGGAAAGAACACGGGGGATTTTCCTGACATGACTCAGGAAGAGCCAATCAAGCCCTCCAGCTGTGCCCAGGAGTTCCAGCCCTACTACATCAGTGTAGTGGAGGAAGAAGACTATCTCTGTTGGGAGGACTTGGAAGATGCTCAGAGGCTTCTAAAGGAGTATCAGCAGAGGGAGGATGTGGATTTGGAACACTTGATGTCAGCAAGGTGAGGCTTGAGTCTGAAGGTTTTCTCTGGATTGCGAAGAGTGGCTGGAAAATTGGTACCAAGTAACAGCCAGGTCTGCAAATGTGGAGAATGGACAGCATACAACCGAATATATTCAAGAGACTTGCTGTTTAAATATTTATAGTTTTCTATTCTAGGCTTCAAAGCGACTCACAAAAGCACAGACCATTCAGATAATAAAATACAAATGTAAAAATGATCAGGATCAGTCATAAAGTCAGCAGCATAAAAGAGCATAGATAAATCCTCCTCCAGGTAGAATAAACCAGGCACAGCTTCAGCCCTGCTGGCATGGCTTTTAACCACATCCTGTGGCTATCCCAGTCCATGGTTTCCACTTTCTCTTTACTAGAAAACCCTTCTGAGTTGGTTTACTAACGCAGTAATATTGTGATTGGTGTAATATCAGTGTCTTCCTTATGCTTAGTTATGCCCCTGATGGTTCTGGTGAGAAGTATGAGAAGAGTGAAGCTGAAAAGAGAAACCAGATATTCTACAAATTCATGAAAAGAATTTCCTCCTGCCAGGAACAGATCTTAAGGTAGGTTAGGCCCATTTATTTTGTTTCTGTCTAATAAAAACCGATTGTGTTTGGAAATAAGCTAGAATTTAGAATATCTTTGAGCCCCGCTGTCAACTGTCCCACGCAGTTCATTCAACAAATAAGGACTCCTGGGCTAGCTTCATTTTCCAAGAATACAATTTACTGAGCTGACCATGGATACCAAAATAGCAAAGCTAATTTAACGGATTCCCACACAAATAGCATAATTAAATGTCTCGTCCCCCATCCCACAGTCGCTTTATTTCGTCCAATCCACTGTTCATTTTGTTTGGACTGGAATTTCCCAGCTGGTTGACCTTGAGGGCGCTGGCTGTCGAACTGGCTCCAGCTTTGTTCCTAGGAAAGCATGACCTTTGGCTCCACAGATGTAGAGAAAAGGCACTGGGTGCAACACAAGCAAGAAGCGCTGAGGAAAATCTGCATGAAAATTACATTTTGAAAGCAATCCCCATGTCCCAAATCCCTTCCCCCCTTTGGGAGAAGTCCAATCAGGTATGTCCCAATGTTTTGGAAGCCAGATGCCTCTGGCAGGGTTATAAATTCCTTTCCCAGGGTCGGTGGCCTTGAAGGCAGGAAGATAGCTCAGTTTGACACCTCTGGTTCCTGTTGGTGTGCATACTCCCTTATTTCCCACAGCATTCAATCACACCTCCAGATCCCTTCTCTTCCCCAACACACACACACACACACACACACACACACGGTTGTGGCAGTTGCTAGCCAGTTTCAAAGAAAGCGAAGATTGG